CATTAGCTGGGCGGGGAACGACGTCCACGGCCCGTACGGGTATCAGGGCTACACGTGGCACCTTGTGTCGCCCTGGATCAAGCAGACAGAAGAGCAAGTCCGCAAAGCGGAGCACTGGCCCGTCAAGCAGTTGGCCAAGGTGGAATCCGCACTCCGGAAGGTTGTTGCGTTGGCTGGACATCATTGTGTCAGGTCACTGACCGTTGTCGCTGGCACTGTCGCCCAGGCCTACGGGCTGGATTGGGAATACGACAGGGAGATGAAGAAGCACACCGACTACCTGGTGTCGAACGGCGTGAAGGTCATCGATCCTTTCGCCCATCTCTACGGCACGGTCCGTTACGACAAATACCACATGGTGGCCTCGCAGGACAACTTCCAAGCTACCACGGAGTGGTGGCGAGCGCTCATCTCCACCACCCTGACGGGTCGGCAAATCTTCATGATGCGGGAGGACTTCCTTGCAAATCAGCGAAGCCAGATCTTCAACAATCACTTCCACTTGGCCCGGCCGGAGTTATCCCTTACGGTCCCCCCGTGCACTGACATGGTGAGGCCCAAGATTGATGATTTCGCGTGGCTGGCGCCTACGTCGAGAGATCAAAGCGAGGAGATCATTGTCGCCCAGAACGTCGTCCGGAAGGCACCGACTCCATCGGACGAAAACCACCCGGAGGTGGATGCAGTCCCGATCACTGAGGATGACCGGGCTTACCTGAACCCTGACGGGTCTGGCGGCGATGACGACGAGGTGATCCTCTTCGACGCAAACAACCCTCGTGTGAGGAGGTTGTTGGAGGCCCTCGACTCGGTTGAAGGCCAGCTCGATGATGAGCAGGCCGTCGAGATTGAGAAGGAGCGCGGCATTGACACCATTGTCATCAATGATCCTGACGATCCGGACATTGCGTGTGAACCGCTCCTCCCCATCAACGAGCCGGATGCCTCCGTGGAAGAGATCTTGCAGCAGACGAGAGAGAGGGTTCGCCAGGATAAGACCCTCATTGATCTCAGCGAAGACGTCACCGACCTGGGGAACAAGGTCTTGCCTGCTCCTTCCCGAGCTGCGCCGCCCAAGGCAATGCCTGCGCGTGCACCTCCCGGAAGGGATGGTCCTACCATCGACGAGTCAGCAGCATACTGGTGCGTCGGTAGCGAGATGCCGGTCATTCAGATCAGGCGCTACCTCTCTCCCAACGCCCTCGAGACGTTGAGCCGAAAGATGACGTGGCTGCTCCGTGGCTTCTCCAAAAAGTGCGCCCACGCACCCCATCTTGAATTCGATGGGAATGGAACGACATCTTTCCCGGCATTCTTCGAGGCGTTGGGGCAGATTTGGAACGGGCTCCGTATGGAGCAGATCTTCCAGGTATGCGAGTCGTCTGAGAAGGAACGCTTCGAGTTTCTCATCCACCCGGGCGGGAGGATTTTGCGATGCCGCGCAATCCAAGGCCACAGCGGGGCGCTCATGACCGAGAACTCTGACCCCATGCTTGTGAATCGCAGATCCTTCCATCTGGTCGACGGGTGGAAACCCAGTCTCCGCGAATTCCCTCCTGTTGGAGAGGCTGGCTTCACGCACAGCACTTTCCACACGATGCCGAAGATGGGATACCATTCCACCTACTTCCGCCACTTCAGGAGCATCGTCGAGAGCGGTATCATCCCAGGAGGAATGTCGCGAGACGGGAGTCGTCGCAGATTTTACGCCATGATGTCACCGAAACCAGCATGGGAACGTGACTGCATGGAGGGCGTGAGGCCTGATGCCGAGATCGAGTTCGTGATCGACCTCCAAATGGCTGCGTTGGACGGGGTTCGGGTCTTTGAGACGGCCGCTGGCGCGGTGCAGACCCCAGATTGGCTGTCCAACCGCTACCTCGTCTACGCCTATCGGAGATCATCGAATGAGCCGATCTGGATCAACAGGGCGTACGAGCATGCTCGCCTTCGCATCGACAAGGCCGTGAAGGAGTTCACCGCGCACAGGAATGTGTTGCCCGTCTTTGACAACGATCCCTACCGTTGCCTTACGGATGGTGCGGCCACTTGCTTCCTGGACTACCTGAAGATTCCCCCGGAGGAAAACTTCACCGAGTGGGCCCCTCTCGCAGCCGATGCCTACACTCCGTTCCAGCTCCACTACGAACCACAGTGGGACTATGGTGGTCAGCCGGTTCGGATCCCGGAAGGGCATCCTCTTCACCCTGCGCTTCACAACGCCTGTTGGGGCATGCGGGCACTTGTGCTGCCCACGCAGACTGCACTTACGGTGGATCGAAAGCTTCGAGGAGACCCAAGGTTCTTCAGGCACCAACAGTGCGTTGCGTTCCCCAACTTCAACTGTCCTTTCTGCGATTGCAATGACTTGATCGACGGTCTCACAAAGTGTCTCAAATGTGAAGAGCGGTTGACATTGCCCACGGACCTGGCGAAGATGGCGCAGCCCTTTGAGGCCCGCGATGACGCCACCCGGAGGGGTAGGCCGATGAACATCTTTGAGATTCAGCCTTCCATTGGCCTGAACTCCAATCGAGATCATCGGAATCCTCGCCGCATCGACGACACAACCGTGGACCGACGCAAGTCCAGCTCAGGAGCAACCTTGAAGGCGAAGATCAACAAGTCGCTGAGTCGTGCCAAGGAGCGCACAGGAGGTGATATCACCCTCGGCGCGATCCTGGCGGAGTCGCCCATGGATGCCTTCAACTGGATCTCACAGGGTTTCAGCTTCACGAGCCTCAACCAGATCACGAGGTTCGCCGACATTCGGCTCCCGAACCCTGGGATGGCAGGAGGCAAGTATGCCGAAGGCACCGACGCCTACCACAACGTCGACGGGCGGCTCGCCTATATTTGGAGCAGCGACGATGAGTATGTCGACATCCTGACGGATTGTTTCATCTCTTTCCAGGACCGGTTTTACACCGTGCTCGAGATGGCCGTCATCATGTTCGCTGTGTACAGGACGACGGATGACAGATTCTTCTTGATGACGAATACCCCAGGCGAAAAGTGGTATCCAAACGGAAGAACACTGGCCGGAATTCTCGGGGAGCTCATCAACCCTCGTCCGGCGTGATCTTCCTCACTCAGCAAAAAGGGGCGAAGTTGCTCCACCGCTGCAGATGACGCAGGATATCCACGTCCCGGAAGGGTTCAGTTCTCTCGGAGATCGTCAGCTGGCACAGCTTCTCCAGTTCACCCGCTTCAGGACACGCAACATCAGGTCCACGATTCAAGATCGGGTTGATCGACTAAGGAGAGACAGAGCATCGTCTGCACCCAGTGATCGCACGCCGCCATGGGCGCAACAGCCGCAATCCTCCAGAGGAAGGTCCAACACTCCCGGCACGCGGGAGGGTCGCCTCGCAGAGAGCAGGTCGAGGGACAGGCAGTCACCGTGGAAGTCACCCCCGGCTGACGCAATGCCTCCTCCTCCAAGTGCACCGCTGCAGGTCAAGGCGCCCCCCGTGATGCAGTTGACATCGAAGAGGCCACCTCCGCCGGCACCAATTACAAGGTCCTCATCTCCAGCTGCCCGGCCAGCAAGCACTGCTGTCAAATCCAAGCCGCGACCTCCACAGCTCCCGAGTTCCTACATCTCGGACGCGGACTGGGACGCGATAGCAAACAATCGGCCATTCGCTGAAGAACGCCCTACTGCCAGGCAAAGGGTTGTATCCCCTGGTCAATCTCGCCACGCGGAAGCGACGGCCCCTCCGGGTCTGTCTCGCCCCGCGGAAGCGGCGGCCCCTGCGCCGATCGACACTGATGCTGCCCCACGCCCGATGGTTGTCGAGCCTGCCACTCCTCCGACGAGAGAGCAGGCTGCCGCAAATCGTGGGAGGCAGATCATCTACGAGACGCTCGACAGGGTCGTATCCTGGGGTCAGGTGATCAGTGGCACCGACATTGATCACACCCGTGACCGGGATGTTGATTGGCCAACTTGGGTGGGCTACATGTGGGCTGTGCTTCGTGCCCTAGACATCCCTGAAATGTCAGTGGACAATGCGCTTTATGCGATTCCTGTCCACGGTTCAACGAACACGTTTCAGATCATGGGTCCAGATCACGTGAAGTCCTACCTTCGTGGCTGGCACAACTGGCGATGGGACTATGCCACCGATGCTTGGAAGCGCGATTACTAGTTTCCTTCCTTTTGCATCACACCAGCCTGACGGCTTGGTTTTCGCCGCTCTGACGGGCTGGCTACCTTTTCCACTTTAGTCAGCATTTCTTTCAGGGCCGCGGAGCTGAGCTCTGTGGGGCAAGCACCAACACCCTGCCGGGTTGTTTGGCAGCGAGTTGTTGGTCGATGGTGTAGAGATAACTTGTTTGAATCAAAGTAGCGTCGCGAACAGCTGATGTGTCGCCTCTCCGTTGCTCTAAGATGCGCGGGGGGTGTCGATACTTCAAGATATCAGCTGTATTACCCTACTTACGCTACTTCATTGGCTCAAGACAAAAAGTGCGTTGCACTGTACTCGTTGAGTTTAGGGCTTTCCGCTGGTAACAATATAATTGATTGCTTAAGAACCCAGAAAAAATGCAAAATATTCTTCCCTATTTAAGGTTCATATAGGGATTGTTTGTTTGTTTTAATTATTCTTTTGGGGTTCTTAAGCAAACAGTAGGCCCCTGTCAAGAGATTGAGAAGCTTTTTTCCGACACAGCGCGCCGGCAGCGAAGCGGTCGCCGTGTTGGCCGCAGTGCAAATGGGCAAAATGGGACCCTAAAACCCTAAAGCCCTCAATCATGAAACCCTGCCCAAAGTTCATTAAGTTTCCTAAGCCCCCATTTCAAACCCAAACCCCTATAACCACCTAAAATTCCCCCAAAGTCCCGAAGTCCAGAGGTCTTCAAGTTCCCTAAGTTTCCTAAGCCCTAAACCCTAAACCCTAAACCCTAAACCCTAAACCTTAAACCCTAAACCCTAAACCCTAAACCCTAAACCCTAAACCCTAAACCCTAAACCCTAAACCCTAAACCCAGAGGTCTCCAGGATGCCAAAGATGCCCTGGAGAGCCTGGAGCTCGAGGCCAAGGATTGTGCCCAGTTGGAGGCAAGGGGGCCGAATTCACTGCAGAGTTTAGGGGGTTTAGGGTTTAGGGTTTACGGTTTAGGGTTTAGGGTTTAGGGTTTAGGATTTAGGGCTTAGGGGTTTCTCGGGCTTTTGCGGTTCAGGGTTGAGGGGTTGCGTTTAGGGCGTTTGCGGCTTTTTGGGCTTTTTCATACTGTTCAAGTTTGTTGGGTCTTGATAGATGCATCGGAGCAGACAGTGTCAGACAGAGTGACACTTAAGACTCACGACGGGCGGTCCCAAACGCACCCTTCCCTTCTCACAACTTTGACTTGCTTGTGCTCCATACCTTTGGGATTTTTGTGATGTCGGCTGGTCGCATTCTTTTGCCTTTAAAGAGCCCCGTATGAATACAAGAACGTGCCCGTGCTTGGCTTGAAGTCTTGGGCTCTTGCTTGCGTTTGCGACAATCGATGATCGCAGAAATACACTTCTAAACCCTTTTGACCTATCGAAGCTTTGTGCTCTCAGCCCCTAAATATTCAGACCCCTCGAAATCCATTGAATCAAGCACCCGGAGTTGGAGAGTGAGCCCGCAGAGCCCGTAAAGCCGCAAGGCCCACACATTGAGCACGCGTAGGGTCTCGCGCGCGCCCGGGCATAGTAAACCTTGATGCTGTGGGCACATGCTCTGTTGCCCTGTGTGTCTTCGCGGAAGCTATCCCCAAACCTTCCACACTGTGTAGGTTTTACCCTCAAGAACCTCTAAGTGTAACCCCTACAAGGTCCCTTATATAGTAGTCCCTATGTACCTAAGTAGCCCCTAAATAACCCCCTAGACAACCCCTAAGGTCCCTTAGATAACTCCTTTAGTTCCTTGAAAGCAGGCATCGACGGGCCCTGCGCTGAATCGAAGTCTTGCCCTGGGCCTGATGGGCCAGACCGTCCGGCAAGCAACTACCATGCCACCGGGGCTATATAAGGTCTGGCTCCCCCTAAACCCTAACCCTAAACCGTAGGCCCTACACCCTAAACCCTAAACCCTTGTAAACCCTAACCTCGTTTTGGGGGATCGCTCCAGGGTTAGATAGGGTTAGTAGGGCTTAGGGAAAGTGTAGCGTTTTGGGTGTTCGAAGGGATCCCAGATTCTCGCAAATGCTCGAAAAGCCCGACTACAACCCCCCAAAAGCCCCCTGTTTAGAGGCCTCCCCCCCCAAAAAAAAACAAAAGCCTGAAAGCCCCGAGCCGTAGGCCCTAAACCCTGAACCCGAAACCCTAAACCCGAAACCCTAAGCGCGAAACTCTAAACCCCAAGCCCTAAACCCTAAGCCCTAAACAGCCTAAACCCCAAACCCTAAAACCCTAAACCCAAAACCCTAAACCCTAAACCCTAAAACCTAAACCCCCCAAAAAACGGCTTTCTCTAAGGTTCGGGGAGCTGCTGCTCCTGAAGCAGCGCAGCCCGCGGCCCCTGGAAAACATGGATGTGCTCTACCAGTGCCTTTGTTGCAGTCCTTCTCGGGTTTAGGGTTTAGGGTTTAGGGTTTAGGGTTTATTTTTGGCATTCCGGAGAGGTCAAGACTGTTGCGCAGCCAGCCTCATGGGTTTCTGGGCCTGGACAAAGCGCCGAGTTCGAGTAAACCCCAAGCCCCCAAACCCGAACGCCCTAAGCCCTCAACCGTAAACCGTAAACCCGAAACCGGGGCCCCCCAAGCTGCCAAGCGAAAAAGCTGCTTTTGTCATGGGCTCCCGTACTACCCCCCTTGAGATCACCCCCCCCTAGGTTCCCCCTCTTAAATAACCTTAATTCATTCGCCTGAATTGCCTAAATAGAGTTACCTAAATAGCCTGAGCTATGGGGGGAAGCTAGGGCGGGTACTACAGAGTCGGGTGGGGATTTTGGTGCTCACCGTAAACCCTAAACCCAAAACCCTAACCCCTAAACCCAAAACCCTAAACCCTAAACCCTAAACCCTAAACCCTAAACCCTAAACCCTAAACCCCAAACCCTACACCCTAAACCCTAAACCCTAAACCCCTGAGGAGCCTGGAGCGCCTGGCGCGGAACCTGAAGCAGAGCGCCTCGCTCCAGCCTGCCCTGCACGAGAAGTTCGCGGGGCAAGCCCGCGCAAAGCTCTGCGAAGGGTAGGAATTGGGCTGTTTCCCCCTTAAAAAACGTTTTTTTATGGAACCCCAGTTGTAATCCCTACTAAGGACTGTTAGTATACGGGGGAACATCCCAAGGTAGGAAGTTTAGGGGCTTCGCGTGTAGGGAGGTTCTGGTCACGGGAGAATGGCGGGTCTGAAGTTTTTTTTGGGGCGCTTAGGAAGGTTCAATGCGTGCAGAAGCCACGGCAAGTTGAATTCTAGACATGGGCTTCAAGCGCTTGTGAAGGCGCGCGCGCGCGCCTAGAGCCTAGAAGAAGACCTTTTGGCTCCTGGCGACACAACTTCCGGTGCTCTTTACTGGCCGAAGCCTTGAAGCCCTTGCGACTGTGTTTGAAGGCGGAAGTTTTATATGTCCAAAGAACGACATGCTACAGCACACACTCTCCCAAAGAGGGCGCTCCCCCCCCCCCCCCTCCCAACTGTGGGGGCAGCTTGCCCAGCTGGAGATGAAGCAAAAAGGCTGTCTTTTTGAGGCATGGTTGCTCAAAAAGTGGACGACAGTCACCCTAAACCCTAAACCCTAAACCGAGGATGAGGCAGCTTTGGCGCGGTTCATAGTTTGATCTTTTTGAGGCATGGTTGCTCAAAAAGTGGACGACAGTCACCCTAAACCCTAAACCCTAAACCGAGGATGAGGCAGCTTTGGCGCGGTTCATAGTTTGAGGACACCCGGGCTTTCTTCGTTGCAGAATTTGCTGCCATATTGCTCCTAAGCAAGCAGGGTGGCTGCTGCAAGCGCCCTGCTTGCTCAGGAGAAATTTTGTTTTGTTTTGCACAATTTGCACCCAAATGGTTCAAAACTTGTGTTTCTTTTTTTGCACAGTTTGTAGGGTCCGGAAGGGCTCCTTCCGAATGATAGCCAAATGGTCATGTTATGTTGAAAGGTGTCAAAAATTGTTGGAAAACGCAGTGTTTTGGCTTACGTGATGTCTCAACAGGTTTAAAACCCTGGCTGTTGGCACGCGTTTGGTTCTGTGCACGTCTGACGCTAGCAGCACTCCACGGCCTTTCAAGATTCTTCTGCTTGCAGCAGTGTACTATTCATACTCTACTACTGCACTTACTTTGCGGTATTATGTATACTGACCATGCCACGCTATATGTATGTATGCATTTATGCATGTATACACACATACACCCACACACACACACTGTAGCATCGTTTGTGTGGCAGACCTTCCCTGTTCACCTCTTCCGGCCTAGCTGCTGGGATCGTAGAACGTGGCACACGCGCCATTGCTGCGCCGCGCCATGGTATGCTACTATGCTGTCTTGCGCATACCATCCGCCGCCTCGGAATCGGAGATCCGTTCGGCTTACCGCCGGCAAGCTCTGTCCACGCACCCAGATAAGGGCGGACGTGCAGAGGACTGGCATGTCTGCGGTAGCAGTGTCGTTGTTCCTCTTGCCGTCGTACTGTCCCACTTTCTCCGCATTAGCAGTGCGAAAGGACTTCCTGCAGGTGGTCGCTGCCTTTGAGATCCTGTCTGACCCCAAAAGGCGACGGGAGCATGACCAGCAGCTCGAGCAGCCTGGAAATCTTAAGGTCCAAAGCAAAAGGTCGAGGCCAGCAGGAAGAACAGTGCCTGAAAAGGGCACACAAGAAGCACCGAAGCAAAGGAAGGAGGAGAAGGCTCCAGACAAGGAGCCTCCAGCTGGTGATGACCCAGACACCACCATGCCCCAGGCACCCTCTGCACAAGCCGCGTGTGGCCTTTTGCGTGAGCTGCTGCTTCTATCGCAGAAAGATCTGTTGCTGCGGCTGAAACAGATGAGTGAGGAGGACGGGGCGTTGCACAACGCACGTCAAGTTGCAGGAACGAGATACAATCCTGCTTATCACTAGGAAATGTACGTAAGGTCATTTGAACAGCCCGGACAGGCTCTACTCTACTGGTTGCGAATGTCCGGGTTATTTAAGGGGTCATGCACGCGAGGGCCCCAAAAAGACGCCGACAGTTTCGCATCAGGCCATGTTCTTTCTCGAAGTGTGCACGGCCTGGGTTCGGCCAAGATTTCTGAGCAAAGTCTGGCACCCCTGACAACAACTGAAACCCGAATCCCGAAATCCTCCCACAGAACCTTGCAGTCAAAACGCCTATATTCGTGAAACCCTAAACCATAGTAGTGATGCTATGGCACATGGTATGGTAGTAAATCATGCAGGGACCACGAATCTTGGTTGGGCAACTGTCAGGGCCTCTTGCTCGTGAGGACCATGAGTTTGAGAGTCAATCAGCTTTGGTAGCCTGGTAGTCTCGTCAGAGCAGCCTCGTCCGATGGGGGAGTCGAAACCGTCGGAACCCTATATCCTAAACCTCCACACGGGGACGCTGTGGGAACCCCAAACCCTAAACCCTAAACCCTACACCCTCAACCCCTCAACCCCTAAACCCCTAAACCCCTAAACCCCTCAACCCCTCAACCCCTCAACCCCTAAACCCCTAAACCCCTAAACCCCTAAACCCCTAAACCCCTAAACCCCTCAACCCCTAAACCCCTAAACCCCTAAACCCCTAAACCCCTAAACCCCTAAACCCCTAAACCCCTAAACCCCTAAACCCTGAACAGAAACAAGAATCCTGAACCTTCCACTTCCCAGGAGCTCGGGCATCTCGTTGAGATGATAGACCAAGAGGCAGCCTGACTCGCATAAGGGTTTAGGGTTTGGGGTTTAGGGTTTAGGGTTTGGGGTTTGGGGTTTGGGGTTTGGGGTTTAGGGTTTAGGGTTTAGGGTTTAGGGTTTAGGGTAGTACAGGTGGTACAGGTGGTGGCAGTAGTATAGTGCTGGTGGTAGGTAGTGGTGGTATAAGTCGTAGCCGTCGTAGCACTAGTCGCAGTAGTCGCAGTAGTAGCAGTAGTAGCAGTAGTATAGTCGCCGTCAAGGTGGGGGCGGGTCAGGTCGTGTATGTAGAGATAGCAATAGTAGGAGTAGGACGCCCAGTAGCAGCAACTATAGCCGCAGCTGTATTTATACTTATTGTTGTGTTTTGGAGTCTGCAGTTACGTGCTAGTAGCGTGGTAGCCGCAGCAGAAGTTGCAGCAGCACAGTAGCAAGCTGCAGTCTGGGCCGAACTATTGTAGTTGAAGGGAGTAGCCTGCAATCTGCCTTTCATAGGTACACCAGCACACTAGCAAAGAACAGTCTTCTCGTAGCAGCTCAGCCTCTTGCAGCAGCCTGTTCAGGTCACCGAGTCGGCTACAGAGTTGAGCGTCGCGCGACCTGCCTGCCAGCAGGCAGATTGTCTGCCGCATACCGTAGTGGACGACTGCCAAAGTGTACTTTTTTCATCATGGTATTCAATGATATGATATGCTATAGTATGCTGTGGTGTACTATATATAGTTTGTTATTACTACAGGCTGAGACTTAGTTAGCCCTATAGACACACATGCAGTGCAGCAGAAAAGTATGCGTTCGAGGTTTCGACAGGAATCTAAGGCTACGCCTGCGTAATATGCAGACCTTCAACCAGACCAACATTGTCCGTTTTATCTGCACTTCGCGCGGGGCTCGTCTACCACATGACGTTTCCTGCAGCAGGTTCAGGATATGCCGCGATAATAGGTCAGAGCAGCAACACCACTGTACCCCACATCACTGAGAAATCTCTGGCCTTGCAGTTTTAGATCCTGTACCTGACCCCTTGGGACGCTACACCAGTATAACTTGAATGCAGTATACGAAGCTTTGCTGAGTGCAACGGCCAGGAGGCAGATGAGGACTTGATTTCAGAGGCCGAGTCCACGGGAGCAGCTGGGAATTTCGAAGTTCGCGCTTTGCGTTTGGGGGTTAGTCACCCGATGCCAGACACCCTTTGCAGGAAACCCTAGTTCGTTGTCAGCTGTAGAGCCAAGCGCCACATGAGCTACTAGGTTAGAACATACACTAATTACGATACATGTAGAAAATGCCTATGTATATATCTTATGCGTATCCATACATATATGTATGTATGCAGACGAAGGCAGCATATTAGTGTAAGACTGTGACCCTAAGCCCTAAACCCGAAACCCAGAGTATAGTAGTGAGGTATTGGCACATAGCAGGGTGGGGATACCCAAAGCCCTAAGCCCTAAACCCTAAACCCTAGAGCGTGGGCCAAGGATGCTGACGGGCACACGCTGCTTCCCCCAGCGCTCGCGGACGATGACATGCACGGCAGGGGGGAAGAGACCTCGGTTTCTGGGATGGAATCGATCTATGCAGTATACTTCCGAGTTGCTAGAGTAATGTGCGATCTTGATTTGTGTAGTGGCCCCCCCCCCCCCCCCACAAATCAGGATCCCTGATTAATTTTGGGGGGCAGGGGGGGCCCCGGAATTAGAAGCAAGCGGAACAGGGCTGCTGGGCTCGGTTGTTCACGGACAGAAGGACCAGAGGGTTCAGAAAAGGGACCACCCTAAACCCTAAACTAAGTGAGGGGTCGCTTCCGTCGAGCGACAGACCCCGAACGCTCGGCCGAGGGCCTTACAGCCCGAGCGCCCAAGCGAAAAGAGAAACGGAAAAGGTGAGGGTTAAGCCTCACCGTCTGTCCTGGACAGGCCAACGGACATCGGCCTTTTTTACGACAACGTCAGTACTCGGCTCAGGGATGGCCGGCAGGGTTTGCCGGGCCCCCCTCCCCGGCGGCCCCTGGCTTGTGGTGGCTGGATTCCTGGAGCAGGAGGCTGGCCAGGGGTTGAGGCAGGCAGGTTGCTCATTTCGCGGGGCCAAGAGCAAGGGTCCCCCCAACCAAGGGTGCCCCGAACCCCCCCACGCCAAGGGCCCCGGCCAAGACCGAGGAGCAAGGACACCCCCTCCAAGTGGCTTCGAGCCCCCAGACCAAGAACCCCCAGACCCAAGAAGGGCACCCCCAACCAAGGGCCCCTGGGCCAACCCCTTCAGGGCGGACCAACAGGGCCTGGAAGGGCCCGGGTTCAGGGAAGGGCCCGGCGCCAAAGGGCCGTACCATCCAATGAAGAATGTTTTTTTTTTACTGGAATGGATGGTTTTGCGCGCCCCTCCATTGTACACCAGAAGCGCCAGGGAAGCCCAGGAAGCCCCCAACAGGCACCAAGAGCCACCAAAAGGCTTCAAAAGCTTAAAAGGCCCCCTAAAAGAAGGGCACAAGATTTGTCCGTGCCCGCAATGAAAAATGCGATTTTTGAATATTGAAGATGGTTTTAGGCACCCCTGCCCGCAATGAAACATGTTATTTTTTAGTACTGAACTCGATGGTTTTGGGCACCCCTCCATTTCACCCGAAAAGGACCAGGAAAGCCCAGGAAACCCCCAAATCAGCAAGGGCCTCTACGGGCCCTGACGTGCCGAAGGCCCGAAAAGGGCCGAGTACCCCGAACCCCAGCTTAAACCCTAACACCGCAAAACCCTGCGAAGGCCTTCAAGCAAATAAGGGCCTCTACGGGCCCTAACGTGCCGAAGGCCCGAAAAGGGCCGAGGCTACCCCGAACCCCAGCTTAAACCCTAGCGATTGAAATACGCATTGGCGAAAAAAAACTAATAGGTTCCCTGACCTTCAAATGAATAAAGCCTCTACGGCCCCTGACACGCCGAAGGTCCGAACAGGGAACAGGGCGAGAGACCCCAAGAGCCACCAAAAGGCTTCAAAAGGCCCCTAAAAGAAGGGGACGCCAGGATGCCCGTACCCGCAATGAAAACTGCGATTTTTTGGTACTGAAATCGATGGTTTTGGGCACCCCTTCATTTTACCCCGGAAGGGCCAGGAAAGCCCCCAGGCAGCCCCCAGGAAGCCCCCAAAAGGCCCCCAGAGGACCTTAAAGAAGGGGAATCCAGGAGCAGGCACAAAGGGTTTCCCTGACCTTCAAATAAATGAGGGCCTCTACGGGCCCTGACACGCCGCAGGCCCGAAAAGGGCCGAGGCTACCCCCAACCCCAGCTTCAACCCTAACAGCGCAACTTTAAAAACATCAAAGCAAGCATCAGGGCACAAGAAAATACAAATTCCATAAACCCTAAACCCTAATAGAGTATAGTTTGGGTGGCCGGGGTGGGTTGACGGGCAACGCGAGCGCGCGGCCCGGGGTGTTTCACACCCGAGCGCGCGCCCTCCCCTGACACACCCTAAACCCTAAACCCTAAACCCTAAACCCTAAACCCTAAACCCTAAACCCTAAACCCTAAACCCTAAACCCTAAACCCTAAACCCAAAACCCTAAACCCTAAACCCTAAAAACCCTAAACCCTAAACCCTAAACCCTAAACCCTAAACCCTAAACCCTAAACCCTAAACCCTAAACCCTAAACCCTAAACCCTAAACCCTAAACCCTAAACCCTAAACCCTAAACCCTAAACCCCACAAGAAGGGTTGCTGGGCTCAGCAGGTAATGGACAGCGCGTTTCGCAGGGCTCTAAACACCGCAGCAGCAGATCTGAGAACGTCCAGCAGGGTTTAGGGTTTAGGGTTTAGGGTTTAGGGTTTAGGGTTTAGGGTTTAGGGTTTAGGGTTTAGGGTTTTTTCAGTGTAGGGTGTAGGGTGTAGGGTGTAGGGTCTAGGGTCTAGGGTCTAGGGTGTAGGGTGTAGGGTGTAGGGTGTAGGGTGTAGGGCTTAGGGGTATGCCCCAAACTCAGATTCATCTCAGGAGACGCCTACTAGGACACAGCGGCGTCCAGACGAAAAAGGAGAAGAAGGAGATGTGGCCGTACCAGGCGCTAGAAAGAAGCGCGTCTTGCTACTTGAGCTTGATAAAAAAAACTTGTTTCGTGGAGTCGAAGATCTGCAAGATCGGGGAGATATTTTTCTCACTGTGTCTTGCTTACGAAAAGAACGCAAACCACGCGATACCACAGTATACAATGTCCTCCTCCTTTTTTTTCAGCTGTTCAAACGGACCTGAGGTTGAGGGGGGTGCAGCAGGCACGGCGACCGCGCGAGGCCCTGCGAGGCCCAAGATATCATGCCTGCATTGGCTGCAGAAACTTGGTGCTGAAATCACAAGAGGCCCGGACGTAGAAAGAGGTTCTGTAGGCACGGTGGTGACCATCTTCGGGGGGGTTTGGCACAAGCTCCCACTTGCAGGGTCTTGTCCTGTGCTCGCAAGAGGTCGCCAGTTTGGACGATGCCATTGACCTGCACATCAGTTTGGTTCGCATCCGGCAGCAGATTCTGTCAAAACTCGACAGTGGCACTCCTGGCTGCCAAGCTTTGAAGGAGGCTGTGGAAGCTGTTGTGCAGGAAAGAAAGGATGCAGCCGCTTTCCCCCTTCGACTGGCTTTCCGAGTTTTGTTCGGGCACAACAACACTTCAAAGACCATGCGATCCGCCTGCCAGATTGGACCGGTATGGGAGGAACTAATGCAGCACAGAGAAATGCAGAAGAGGAAACGGGAAGACCAGGCTCGTGCGAGACAGCTGAAAATGGACAAGAGGAGGCAGGAGATCCAGCGTCGGCGGACGGCCCGACTGGCGCGCCGCAAGGAAACCGCAACCCGCAAGCGCCAACGTGCCTAAAAGCTCAAGGCCAAGACAGAGGCCAGGCGCTCCAAGCGGCATGCAGCAGAGTTGAAGCGAACAGCGGCGCGCCGCGCAAAAGTTCAGCGGCTGCGGCAGCACGCGCTCAGGCAGCTGAAGCAGCTGCAAGCTGACAGGTGCAAGCGGCAGCGGGCTTCCCGCCGGAAATGGGGTCTTGCGGCTTTGCCACCAGGGCTGCAAATCGTGAGTTTCCGGGGACAAGACGACGCTGTGTGTGCGGAGCTCAAGCTTCAAGATGGCTCTCTCGTGTCTGGCCCCTTCCGCTTCTGCCTCAAAGATGCGCAGCGCGACCTGGATGAGCTCCGCAAGAGACAGAAGAAGTCTGGTGATCAGGCAGCACTGGAGGAGTTAAGGCGCAGGGACCTGAACGCCATGGCGCGGCTGCTGCAGAAAGGGCCATGAACTCGCCTTGCAACATTTCCAGCCTCCGAGCCTTGTGGCCGAAAGCGCTGCACGGACAAGGCCCACGAGGTCTCCCAGTTTTCCTTTGTGGGACATCCTGATCCTGGGTCAGCGTGGGACGATGGTTGCGACGTCTTGGTCCAGAATTGCCTGTAGTGGAGTGTTGCATCCTTTGCCACGGTGTGGCTAAGCACTCTGCGCACTCCTCTCGCCGTCTATGCCTCGGACAACGGCCCAACACAGCGCACCAAGTCAGGCACCTGGAAGCAATCGATGGGAAGGATGTCCTGCGAGAGTTCCAGCATCCAAGTTTCTTTTGCGGCGTTTAGGGTTTAGGGTTTAGGGTTTAGGGTTTAGGGTTTAGGGTTTAGGGTTTAGGGTTTAGGGTTTAGGGTTTAGGGCTGCTCCTTGGAGGCCAAGATCCCAGCCAAGCAGTGCATGAACCCTCCTAAAGCGCCCTCAGTTTGGGGTTTAGGGTTTAGGGTTTAGGGTTGAGGGTTTAGGGTTTAGGGTTTAGGGTTTAGGGCTTAGGGATGCTTAGGGTGTCACGCCACCGGCTTAGGGATCTTTGGGAATAACTGCTATTTTTTTTTGGGTACGATCATTCCAAAGAAACAGCTAAGATTATAATTTTTGCTCGGGTACTAAGATAAGTAGAGCCGGTAGCAAGTCATATAGAATCTATATAGACACAGCCTGAAGACTGCATTTGTCTACACAGGATCGAGAGTCTGACGATGGCATTGAATAGCTGCACTCTCCAGCAATTACCATGACAGAGCAGCTTGAATATGTCCAGCTGTGTACTCTAAACCTAAACTACCCTAAACCCCAAACCCCAAACCCCAAACCCTAAGCCCTAAGCCCTAAACCCTAAACCCTAAACCCTAAACCCTAAACCCTAAACCCTAAACCCTAAACCCCAAACCCTAAACCCTAAACCCTAAAGCCCCATAAGGCAGTTGCTGATGCCCCACGGCCCCTGTCCGGTTCATGGGAACCTAGGTTCCAAGCCGCGGAGTTGGGATTCCAAAGCCTGAACCCGAAGCCCCGAGTACCAGTGTATTATGGTACTGTTGCATGATAGTACTTCAGTATTACTTGTAGTATTATATTAGAGTACTATACTATTTGGCAATTGTAGTACTAGGGTCTTCTAGCGAAACTCTCGTCGCTTCTGGACTTCTGGGGTCACGAAATGCGAGACTCTCGTCGCTTTTGGACTCTTGGGGTCGCAAGATGGTTCTCCAAAGGCCTAAACCCTAAACCCTGAACCCTGAACCCTGAACCCTAAACCCTAAACCCTAAACCCTAAACCCTAAACCCTAAACCCTAAGCCCTAAACCCTAAACACCCCAAACTCCAAACCCCAAACCCTAAACCCCAAACCCTAAACCCTAAACCCTCAACCCTAAACCCGAAACCCTAAACCCTAAACCCTAAGCCCTAAACTCCAAACCCTAAACCCTTGCGTTTGTGTGTGTGTGTGTGTGTGTTTGGGGTTGTTTTCTTGTTTGCTGTGGATCTTGGAGTCTTTTCGGAACGTCCCTCTGCTTGTTGCTAAGATGCGAGAGCATCTGATCGTACAACCTCCTGCCACCTGATCCTTGCATGAGCGGTTTAGGGTTTAGGGTTTAGGGTTTTGGGTTTTGGGTCTCTCTAAAATTCCCTGGTAGAAAGCCAGTCAGGCAAGGAGAATTAAGCCACAAGTAGAAGCTCATGTTTGCCTTACCCTGATTTTACCCTGATCTTTGTATGGCACTACAGCATCCGGTTCAGCCATGACCACCACGGTTTTCCTGATCCGTCATGGAGATCGTTACGACTATGAGATCGGGAAGGAAGCGTGGCAGGCTCGCTGCAGCGGTGCTGCGTATCTGAAGCCAAGTGATCCACCCCTGTCGGCACTGGGCCACCAGCAGGCTCGTGACCTTGCTGCTCACCTGAAACAAGAGCAAATTGAAGCCATCTTGGTTTCGCCATATCTGCGTGCTCTTCAAACTGCACAGCCTCTTGCACAAGTAACGGGGTTGCCGCTCTTGGTCGACTTCGCCATCGCGGAGTCTCATCAACTCCCTTCCGTACTGCCAAGAGTCCAGATGCGTCTGCCCTATTTTCCAGAGATTGACGAAACGTATGTGCCGATGTTTTCGACGGTTGTGACCGAAGGTAGCGATGGACAGGAGCCTAACAGAGAGCCACGCGTGGAGCACATGCGGCGGATGCTATACGTCGCCAACCAGCTGCAAGAGAGTCCTTTGCTTGCTGGCAGACGGGTTGCCCTCGTGACTCACGCAGCGAGTGTGGCTCTACTCTCTGCCTTGCGCCGAGAACCATTGGAGAAAGCAGGGAAGCTAGCACCCTGCGGCGTATGCAGATTTACTTTAGAGCCAGCTGGCAGGGTAACCGTCGTAGCTCAAGGCGATGATGTTTCTGCATACACCAAGTCATCTCCATCAACGAGAGCATGGGGATTTTCTGACAGCAATGAACCTTTGGATTCTACCGAGGAACTTTGGAAGCAGGCTCTGGAGCTGGGACCTACGGATATCACCTCACTGCCGCTGACAGTGCCAGCCGAGGCTGCTGAGACATGCTCTGATGTGTACGAGCCAGAGAGCCTCTGAGCATGTCGGTTCGGTCTTGTGGAGCTGGTGCATAGTGTCGCTCTCTCAGGCAAACTTCAAGCGCACTTTCGCTCGCTTCTTGACTGTGGAAATGGCATTGTGTGGTGCATGAACTTAAACCGGTTGTTCCGCGAGCTTCCGATCTCATACATGTGTATACCTCATATACATATACATATATACATATATATATATACTATTTTGCTTGTTGCTTGTAGCGAGCGAATGCGGGGCCGCTGCTTGATGAACATAAGTTATTCTTTTTTAGATCTTTTAATTGGGTTGTCGGGCTGATCCAATGGGCTGAGAATAATATTATACAAAGGATACATAATTAATTGGACGAATTGATATTCGATTTGTCCGAATGGAGGGGTTGGATACAAGATTCAATCTTAGATTATCTGTGTCTTGGAATGGGGAGAGGAGTATAAGTCTTCTAATTCTGAATTGATATATATAAATTGATATATATAAATCTGATTTGATATATTAGTTGGTATTTCTGCTATCTCCAATGGAATTTTGGACACAAATTATTTCTATCGAATTGTAGAATTTTTCAACTCTGAGATTGAAGACATACTAGATATGTTCAAAATTATGGATGAGAAATTTATGTTCCCAGAAATACGAATTGAATGTCGAAATAAAGATTTATGAGATGATTTCTACCCACATAAAATATTAAAATCATCTCATATATCTTGATTCCGAAATCTACTTGAATTTGATCTAGATGATTTTGAAGATGAATCCGATTAGATTCTCCTTTAGATTAGTGCTTGAATTTGCCAGATGGTGCAAGCGATTTCTACGCCCAAAAGCACTAATCTTTGAGATGCACCAAAGATTAGGAGAACTTCGAGTCTTCTGCTCGAAATTCCCCCTTCCGGCACGCAAGATTTATGTTCGAAAAATGCCAATTAATTCATTCTAAAATGAATCCAATTTATTGGATCTCCATTCTCGAAGTTCACGACCAAAATAAGAAAGTTCTCAATCTGGGTCCCCGCACCCCCACATTGAAAAAACCCACCACCACCCCGAATTACGCAGGGGAAAAGGGACCCAGAGCGCAAACAAAAGCCACCAACACAAGTCGTGAGCCGGAAGGTCCTAGAAATGAGATTCTTAATTCTTAATTGAATCAGTGCATCGGCGACAGCTGCCAAGCAATGGATGGCCAACGAGCAGCCAACGACATCAGCCGCGACTGCCTCAGACACATTTGAGAAGGAGACCTGGCCAGCGGTTTAAATTGTGCAAAGATCCAAAAATGTTTGGATAGCCCCCGGACCCGAGATGAAGCCCTCTTGCGCAACTCGCTGTCCCCGGATGGCAGCTTACTTCCGAACAGATCCCTCTTGGAAATCAAGCGTTTGGAAGAGCTGACCTAGCGTTTGTGGTGGCGTGCCGGGCCGTGGCGCCATTGGTTGAGGCTTTGGTCCCCGCCCGACCGGGCTACTCGAGATTGGGTTGGGCTCCTGCAATTCAGCGACTTGCGCAGATCTTCCCGAATTGGCAGTCTGAACTTGAGAATCCCGACATCAAACCGAAACAAAAGGAATTGATGGATGTCGTGATGCTCTCCTTCCATAAGGGTCTTGATGATATTTTTTCGGTTCAACACAAGCGAGTGCTCCGGGCGTTTGCCGCCCCATGGGCGGATGGATGGGTTCGAGCTATCCCAAGCCATGCCTTTGATACATGGTTGTCTAATATTGCATTCCACGATATTCTTTCTATGCGACTTGGCAGACAGGTATTTGAAGGCGATATGGCATGTCCACGATGCCCCCAATCTCAGGATTCTTTTGGACACCACACGCTCGCTTGTCATATGCTTGGAGGAAAAACGGTCCTGCATAATATGATTCGGGACGAAATTTATCGGACTCTTCAGGGAGGGAAATTACAGTGCAAATTGGAACCCAATCATCTTCTCCCTGACTTGCCTGCTCAACGCCCGGCGGATATCTTGACTATCCCCACTGCTCTTTGTAGGCAATCTGTTTGGGGTCTGATGTCGAAGATTGCCCTTGATATCTCGATTGTTTCTCCTTTTCGGTCATCGGATCTGGGACGTGAAAGTTTGTCGGCTGCCAAAGCTCGGGCGGAGAACAAGCGTAGAGATCGTGCGACAGCTCAGAGATGTCATGCTCAGGGCGTAGGATTTTTTTTTTTAACCATCCCGACATACGAAGACTTATAGATCGTCTTCGAGAGTTTCAGAAGAATCGAGTGAAGAGACGTATGCTCCCAAAAGCACCAATTAAGTATGCGTTCTCCCACAGAGACGAAAATAATGAAGAGAGACTGCTGTAGCCTCGCAATGGACGGAGAGAGACTTGATGCTCGACCACATCCCAAAAGAATTAACCAGCGTCTCGGATGACCACAAAACACCATCCACACGAGTCCTCAAATTCTCTTCCATGCATTCAAACGCCCACCACCACCCCGAATTAGAAAAGAACTTGGAGACTCGCGTCACGATCACAAGCAAACCGAGACCCCAGCAAATGGCCACAGATTCAGCCAACTCAATCAAATCTTGGCTCATTCAATCGGCAATAATCCTACATAGGCGTAGGATTTGAACCATTGGTCTTTGAACATTCGGGAGGTTTGGAGCCGGAAGGGGATCGTCTTTTGATATCACTTTGTCGGGCAGCCGACGACAATCTTCTGCGTAAACCGGGGTCGACGGGTCAACTCTTGAGACAACGCATCTCTTTCATTCTTCAGCAACACGGACACATTTGCTTACAACGAGCTAGAGATGGAAGCAAGGGCTCGCAATCCACGTGGGATCTTTCCATCCAATTCCTCCAAATATATTCGGAGACATGATCAGGATTCCCCCGCGCAGATGGATGGAATGGTCTATTGATCTACGACTGAACTTGCCAATGAATACTTGATATCTCATTTGATAGGAATGAGCTCGACTTAGTTTCTGAATTCATGGATTAGAGCAGAAGTCTCTTTTCTTCTGGGAGAATCCCTCTTTCGTTGTTTTGGTATCTCCGATCCACTGACGTCTTCCCTTAATTGGGGGTGGCGGCGGGTGCATTGCCCAAGCGTGGCTTGTTTCACTGTGGGATTTCGTGAGTGGATGTTCTTTTCCCTTGTATGGGATTCTCTCGGTTTCAGAATGGATGAATCCAAAACTCAGGTTTCACTTCATTTCTTAATTGGTGCTTTTGGGAGCAGAAGTCTCTTGCATCCTTTTCGGATATACAGCTTGTAATCCCCGCTGAAGATCGAATGTTATCTGTGTCATACAATCGTGAAAATTCTCTCCCTGCCGTCGCCAAGAATTGGTCGACTATACGCTCTTGTAAGTCGTGGGTCAAAATGGATTGGTATATTATTTCTTGTTGAGTCAAATCTGGGAAGAAAGGAAACAGAGATTCGATTACGATTCTAATAATTTCTCTTTTAGCCCTAACATTTTTACAAGGAATAACTTAGCTAAGTCGGATTTCTTAGACAATAGTACGATCTAAGTCCTAATTTATGAACCTCGGTCAAGAGAAAATAGAGAAGATCCCTTATGATTTTTGGATAGTAAGGAGGAGGCTAGGAAAAGATGGTATTGATATCTTTATGTTGTTGACGTCATCGTTGCTGCCGTAGTTGCTGCCCACGCCCCATCACGTTTGCGCTTCTGTGAGTCAATGTATATTGTCTTCTAAATAAGGGAAGCGGGTAGGGGGTTTTCTGGATGAGCCTCCTTTATATCTCTCTATCTGGTGACGTTCCTCGTATTCTCGTAATTCGGGGTTATGATGGATCTTTTCCCTTGAGATTACGAGGGATACTTGTGATTTTGTCTACTAGGAGGCTCTGATATAGTTCGTTTGATATGTCCGAGATATAAATCTTCTGGAGTGTCGATATTTATTTGGTGCTTTTGGGAATAGAAGTCTCTCGTTATGATTTTTTCTAATCGAAAGAAAATGAAATTTGGATGAAATTGATTATATGGACGGTATATACGTCTTAATAATCATGAAAGCAAGAAGAATTTCGAATTCTCCAAGGCGCCTCGACGTGCTTAAAAATCCACCCCCACCCTCAATTATGAGGGAAAATCGAAGATTCCCAAATTAAATGAATCAATAATGAGCAAAATATAGGATTTCAGAATATTAGAAAACACCAATACGAAGGCATAATATATATATATATTTATATTCAAATATCCGTTGCGTCCCCCCCCCCCTCTCCCCCGAATTAGAAAAGAATTTGGAGATTCGTATCACGAACATATCCGTCCTATTTCTCCGGTATAGGAGGCTTCTACTCCCAAAAGCACCAATTAATAAACAGAAAGTGAAATCCAGGAACCAATCCAAAATAAAAATATAATATAAATTTCGTTTTCTCTAAGATGTCCTCCATCCCCAATTACACAGGGCATCCCAGAAAGGCGAAAAGGGGAAGAGAGAAGACAAAGAGTCCATATTACAAAGGTAAAATCTCCTCACGAATACAAATATACAAGAGGACAACTCTTGTTGAAAAACATTTGCAAATTGTGTGATGAACAAACACACCGCAAGTCGGGAGAGAATTTTCACGATTGTATGACACGGATAACATTCGATCTTCAGCGGGGATTACAAGCTGCCATCCGGGGACAGCGAGTTGCGCAGGAGGGCTTCATCTCGGGTCCGGGGGCTATCCAAACATTTTTGGATCTTTGCACAATTTAAACCGCTGGCCAGGTCTCCTTCTCAAATGTGTCTGAGGCAGTCGCGGCTGATGTCGTGGGCTGCTCGTTGGCCATCCATTGCTTGGCAGCTGTCGCCGATGCACTGATTCAATTAGGAATTAAGAATCTCATTTCTAGGATCTTCCGGCTCACGACTTGTGTTGGTGGCTTTTGCTTGCGCTCTGGGTCCCTTTTCCCCTGCGTAATTCGGGGTGGCGGTGGGTTTTTTTCAATGTGGGGGTGCGGGGACCCGAATTGAGAATTTTCTTGCTTT